GAAAACTTTATTTCATAATGTTTTTTTTCATACAAATTCTTAATTCGCATTAATAATGAGATTAACAAATAAAAAGTATAATAGTAAATTGAGATCTTAAATATAAACAGTCGCACCTAAGCTCTGTCTAGATGTTGAAAAATCGGGATGGTCTCATTATACTTAAGAACCCAACTTTAAAATTGCACTTCATCCTACATAACATTCATTGGCATAAATACGTTAGCATGTTATCATTGGTAATTATCTGCATTATTTTATCTTTAATTTTTATTTACTACTTGATGATAAAATGTTTTATAACAAAAAAGGGACAATAAATTTTATTTGTGATATTATAAAATAAAATAAAAATAACATTTCGAAGGAAATAATTCTTTGTACTTTGCCTAGATGTCGGAGAGTTATCAATAATTATCTTCTATAAAGAGTGTTATTTCATTTTAAAGATTGTTGTGTTAAATCTTAAGCGAAAAGAGTTATTTTAAACTCTACCTAGATGTTGAAGAATTTGAAGATAATTCTTTAACTTAAAGATTTTCTCAATATTCTTAAATAATGAGTTTTAGCAAATTTTTTCTTTTTCAAATGAAATGGATTATTATTAAGTTTCAAATTAAAACTATTTCATCCAACATAAAAAATAATGCATAATTAATTGGTGCCAATTTATGGGCGTTTTGGGGGTGCTAATCCTTTCCCACATGTAATCAACTTTCGGACCCAACCTGATTTTCGTAGATCGAATTTTATCTTTTTAATAAACTTTAAACCCATTTTTATAATTTTGTTAAAAAGATAAAATTTTGGGTGACCAATCACACCATAAAAAAATATTGGTGGCTACTTTTTCATTTTTTTCAATTTTAAAATTCTTTACGTCTGACGGTCTCAAAATCGTTACGATAATTTTGACTGACGTATTAGCTTGGTTCAGATGACATGTAATTGTTTACGACAGTTTAAAAGCTCAATCATCTTTAGAGTTCCAAAATTCAAAAAATAAAACAAAAAAATGTCTTTTTGTTAGAGCTTAAAAGTTCAGACCGACTTAAAAGCCTTTTTTTGTTAGGTTAGCCTTACGTTGTATATTTTTGCTCATTGTTTCCTACTTTTTCTCAGTTTCTGCTATTTGCCCTTTCTTAGTACTCTTGGTTTCGATCAAACTACCTGTTTGCTTCTTAGTTCTCCATTTTATTATTGTGACATAACACGTTGTGCCATGAATTAGTCTCTCTTAACCTCTTTAACCCCCTTGAGAGTTGAGATTTTACTTTTAGATGAAGACCTGAGCCTATGAGCCATATAACATATTAGCTAGGTTTGTCTAATATCATATTATAAGTAGATAGTACGTTCACAATAAAAAATTTTATGACTGTGATGGCAATCCTCAGTTCTGTCTACAAAGAGATCGGTAGCTTGATTATTCTTTTCATTGGTACTTGCTCATTTCTAAATCTCACTAGTGTTGTAATGATTAGTTACAGCCGATCTTCCTTGATTCTTATTTTTTTCATGGTGCAATAGTATATGACGTCGATCGAGCTCCAATTATTGTATAAGATTTTCTTGACTACATAATTATATACTACAGTTATGATTACTATGGCATCATCATGTGGGTGCTAGATTTTTTTAAAGTTTTTTGGGCTAAACAAGATCGGTTTGTCTTTCTAATCTATTTTTTTCTTTGTTGAAGTATCCACAACTATGATCATGCCTAGGTTGAGCTATTTCCTGTAATTATGTTGATCACTTTAACGATTGGCTTATTGTTATCAGTTCGACCTTATTCTCGTCTTAGCTCATCTTCTCAGATTTCTCTTATTTGTTGTTCTGCCTTTCTCCTATGTCTTGGATGAGCTCTTTTCGATCTAGTTTGCAATCCATTCTAGGTTGATCTCATCTTTATTGTTCCATAAACCTCATCAACTAGCCTCTTTTAATCAGAGCTTTTATCTCATTTTTTAGGTTGACACAATCTTCAGTATTATGACTTTTGTCTTTATGAAAGGTGTATCTTTTAGTCGGATCCCTCATTGTGTTTTGTCTCAGTGGTTTCGACCATCTAAGGTTAATTTTTTTTTAATTTGCATTATAATCCTCTCTCAGGAGATATTTAGTGCAATGTAGTCCCTTTCTCCACTGGGGTTTCTAGCCTTATATCATTTCTCTTTAAGGGAAAGATCATAGAAATCTTTATCTTTTTACTACTAAGAATGAGGGATGAGCTTCTTTGACCTCGATCGCTGAGAAAAAAGGGATGACCTTTTCTCACGTCAGTTGCTTTTTATTGTAGTTTCAGTATTTATATATTTTTTGACTATAAGTAAGACATCGATAAGAGTTTTAGGTGGTTCTAGTGACAAGATCAATTTTAGGTGGTACTATTTGAGTCCACTTGTTAGGGTAGCTACAACAGTCATTTTCTCTAAGTCTTTTACTTATAGAGCTTTTGCGTTAAAATACATGACATAGCTTTTCAAAGATTCATTGCGACCTTGGTAGATCAACATCAAACTCAAAGTTATTTTTTTCATTCCTAAGCTACTTACAAATTGGGATAAGAAAGAGTGGTTGAGTTTTTTAAACATTGTAAATGACCTTGATTTTAGGTTGTTGTACTATGACCAAGTTACACCCTTTAGAGTGGTAGCGAGGCTCTTACACATCAAAGCTTCGTCTGCACCCTACATTATCATGTTAGTCCTATAAAGTTTTAAATGATCGAAGGGGTCAAAAGTATCATCGTAGATTTTTAAAGTTGGCATTTTGAACCCTTTGAGGGGCATGGTTCTGTCGATCTCCTTAGTAAAGGGCAAAGTCTCCAAAAATTTAAGCTCATCCTCGAATGCCATTACCTTTATTTTTAGCTCTTTTTCCATGACCTACATCCGAGCTTTCAGGTCCTTATTTGGTTAGGGTTCGAGATTTATTTGTTTGGATTTTTGGGTCATAGTATGTGTCAAATTATGACTGGGGTAGTGGCGAACTAGGTTATTGTGCTCCTCTTCTTTGAAGGTTGAAGAAGCTTCCATCTTTTTGTAACTTGGTTGTTTTACTACTGTTTCTCAGCCAAATATGATTAGGTCAGACACTTTCAAAGCTAATGGTGGGGTTATGATTTACAGCATCTATTGAAAGACTTGTATCTGCTCAGTTAAAGCCTAAAATTGTTCCATGGTGGGGCCAGTTTGTGGTGGGACAAGTCAGTTTGAATGTTAGCTATTATGTGTTTTTATCCTAGCCAAAATGGACGTCTCTCCTTCATGTAAAGTCATTTCCCTAGGTGGCATTGTTTCGTGTTTGGCTAGTGAGTGAAAAAAGACTCTTATCTAGCGCACTAATTGTTTGTGTTGAGCTTCGACCCAAGAGTATTCCTGGAAAAGTATAAGAGAAGAACGGTTAAAGGCAAAGACAAGAAATGTTCCCTACATTTACACTCGGAGATGCAAGTCATAATAAGTAAGGTCAAAAAGAGAGCAATAAGAAAAAATAGGAGTATATTGAACTTGCTTTAATTATGCTTGGACATCGTATTTATAGGTAAGGGATAGGGGACCATTGGAGGACAATAAGGTCCTGGTTAAACAGATGTGGTACTAAATATGTTAGGCGGATCTAATATGTTAAATCGACATAAATGTCAAAATTACTCCTAATTGTCTACTAAAAGCTTCTAATAAGGAAAAAAAAAACTATTGTACCATTTTGACCAACAAATGCCCCCAACATGTATCATTCCTAAGAACACTAAATTTGTTTGAATTTTTTTTTAAACTCCTCACTTTGTAATTATTTTACATCAACTTTATCCAACTCCCTATCAATCCATCCTATTCGCCTATCTTTGTATTTTTTTTTTTTTAATTTCAAAAGCCAATGAGTTTGATCAATGAAAGTAAAACAAAATTAGTAAAAAATAAGTCGACACATGACAAAATTTAGGAAGATTTAAAATACAAAAAATTTATATAATCTTTTATATATAAATATAAAATTAAATAATAATAAGATATATTTTTTTATATATTTCTAAGAGGGACAAGAAAACATTTCAAATCTGATTTGACTCAAATTTTTAAAAAAGAAAAAAAAATTGATATGATCTTAATTTAAAAAAAAAATACATCAATTAGATTAAGCCAAATCAAAACTAACTAGAGATATGTAGTTTTGTCATTCCCATCTCTATTGATTTTTTTTATAAAATTTATCTAATTAAAAAATAAAAAAAAACAAAGGAAATAACAAAAAAAATCAAATGAAGGTGACACATAAATTTATTAAATAAAGATATTAAATAATAATTTTACTAATATAATAGATATATATAATTAAAAATAACAAAATATATTTTTTTATATATATTCAAATTAAAGCAAAACACCGAAAATCCAACCTTAAATTAAAAAGAAGTCATATTTATTGGATTAAGGTGAAACGAAATTCATCGAATACGAATTATTTTATCATCTTTGTCTGCATCAAATTTTTTTCAAAAACTCATCTAATTAAAAAAAAATAAAAGACAATCAAAAACAAAAACAAAAATTCACATTAAAATATCAAAAAACTTTTTTAAAAAAAAAGAAAAAAAGAAAGGGTGCCACAAGGACACCCCAATGCTCGCCAAAATTTATATAAAATTAAGTATACAGATAATGTGTATATTGTATTATAACGGTTAAACTTTGGTGGCAGGAGGAGATTATAGAAATGTATTATCAAGGCAGCAAATATGTTTTTGTTTTAGAATTTGGAAATCCAAGATTTTAAGCTTGTCCTGTTGCCAGACATCCTACACCACAACGATTTCTTCAATAAACTAATTCAATTCACCTGTGAAATTTTGATCAGTCACTCATAGGCTAACCAATGCTTTGTAATAACAACAATTCCATGTTTAAAAATTTTCAGTTGGATACCTATTTTTCAGCCAAATTAGAAGCTATTTGAGGAATCCTATTGGCTTCAAGGACATGTTTTTGTTTCAGGAAGATGATCTGAGACAATAGCTGGAAAGGGAGGGTCCAGACGATGAGAGAGGAGATGATGATGACAAGGCCCTTGAGTAGGAGTCCTCATTGTGATAGCAAGGCTCTCGGCATCAGCCTTGTATTATGACTTTATGATCCGTCTGGGCTGAAATCAGCATGGATGAAAACCAAGTACGACATGTTTTAACTCCCGACTGGTAGTAAGCCAGGTAATATTGTGAACTTGCATTTGCTTTCAGCAATCTCTGGTGGTCTTTGGTTAACATTAGAAATTAATTATCATAGGGTTTTGAACTGGATCTTTTCCAAGCTCATGAAAGTGATCCTGGTTTATGTTGAGGATCTGATTAAGATTTGACTGTCCAATTGAGAAAGGACTAGGCTCTGGTGCTGCATATACATCGCAATTGTTTTATTTCTGCCAAACCACATAAGAATCTGAAGCTCTATTTAGCTGCCAATAATTGTTTTTACCTTTCACAAATGTGAATTTTTCCCATGTTCGTGGAATGTGAAATTATGTTTTGCAGACGTCCTGTAGGTTTATCTGAACATGCACATTGAAACAACCGTGTAGGAGATTTCAAGCGGAAAACCATAATAAATAGACAATAAAGCATTTTATTGCTGAGAGAACGTGAGGCAAAAATTATTGTTTTAAGTCTTTTCCATTACCGAAGTGTTGGTTCATCCTGTTTGTAATAAAGTACCAAATGCTGTTGCAAAACCATGTTGGTTTGCCTGGTATAATATCAGAAACAGGTTAAAAAGTAGGATGCGTGGGGATAAAAGCCCATGAGGGGAAACATTGGAAAGCGGGGTCCTCTGGCTTTCGTGGACAACTTGGGTTGATAAAGAGAAAAGGCTGCTTGGTAACTCCGTCTTCCTAACATGGATGGCCTCAATACACCTATATGCCTTTGGTCACTTTGCGTGGGCATGGGCATAAGTGAACCCCACGGCAATTGGTAGGGCAACTCCGCAAGTAGGTTCATTGCATGTTTTGATCCTTGTACCGAAAGCAAAAACCCGACATATCTTGAACAATAAATTGTCTGAAAGAAGACTGGAAAAAGACACCGGTTTGATGAGATTGTGAGGAAGAGGTTTATTGTTGGCAACAGGTCATGGTTTTCTCATGTGGTAGGGACCAACCGGCAATGGAGGCACCAAAACCAGGATGAATTTCCTCACCATCTTCCATCTCTTTTTCGGAATTTTCTTGAAAATATCATCCAATCACAATTGACCTCAACACAAAGAAACATTCAAAAAAAAAAAAAAGAAGTTTATTGAACTCCTCATAGATCCTCAGTTATTGTATTGTCAGTGTCAGGATTAGTCTGGACAACACTTGAATTGTTGAACTGCTTTGTTTTTTCATTAGAAAGGGAATGTACAGAAGAAAAAGGAAGAGTAGGTTTGTGGGGATGGAAGATGATTATTAGTATCTTATTAGCAGATCTTTTTTTTTTTTCCAAAAGCACTAAAAATTTAAAAAGAGTGAAGTGATGGACCAAAGTGAAAACTGAGGATTACAAGGGGAAGGGGGGGAGACAAATCTATTGTCTGCTTGGGCATGTGTGATAGAGGGAGGGAAGCATGGCTTATTTCTACCTGTCTGCTTTTCTGCTGCATCATTGAGCTTACACCTACTTCCAATAAATGCAAGGAGAAGGAGGGATTGCTTTCTCATTCTTTTTGCTAGCCTCTTTAATATTAAAGGCTATTCACAACTACATCACTTGCCCCACGTTTTCAGGTTTATTTTCATCTGCATATAAGGTTAATAATTTCACTCTCTTTGTCTCCACCTTCCCAGTTCCCACCTTTTCCCTTTTTCCTGGTTGTTTAAACGTTGATGCATTTTTTTTTTCATTTCAAAAACTTTTAGACAAACCTATGCTTCTACATTATCTGACAAGATTTAAGTATCGTTTCAATCTAAATAGATTAGGATTTGATGACCATAAGGTTTGAAAAGTTATGCTTCATTCATACATTTTTGTTGTAAAATTGTTTCTTATATTGTGCCAATACCGTCCAATATAGTAAGTAGTTCAGTATATTAATAACAGAATTGAAAGAAAATTTATCAGACACTAATGGTATACAATTTAAATTCTTGTACGTTTCTCTCTTTGTAACTTTTTTTTATGTACAAACACCAAATCTGAAGTTTAACTCTGTTGATTAATACAATTATCCTTAAATGATAATATTCAAAGAATCTAGAGTTCAAATACCTACATTTACAACCTCTTCTCCTATCCCAAGCTATAGCTTCCTTTGTCCAAAAAAAACTACCTACATGTGAGCACAAACTCGGGCAGAAATTTGCGAGCCTTGCAAAGGATGGAATTGAAATGTTGAAGGTTGAAAATTACCATTCACTCTGGAATTTAGCTGATATCAGCAACTAAGAATAACAAGGATTAGGCTCAAAGATTTACAGGGCCTTGGATATAAGAAAACGTGTAACATGATCCATTAGAAAATGAAACAAAAAACAGAAAAGAAAAGCACTAAGAGAGCAAATCAGCAGCAACATTGATGTTTACAAAACTGTACATCAGACCCCAAGACCATTCAAATCCAACAATATCTCCTTTTCTTTTCCCATAACAGCACCACTCTTTTCTTTATCTTGGGATAGGAAAGAAAATCAATCTATGATGTTCTTGGAATTTAGAACAGAAAAAACAAAATTAGCTTTGATTTGAGGACTGCTTTATTAGAGGTTGAGAAGTCTTTCCCCATTCTTCAGGTGGGCTTTTCACCTCCATTAGTAGTGCCACCACTTCCTTCATGGTTGGCCTTTCTGCAGGTGAAGAGTTCACACAAAACATTGCAATTCCAAGGGTTTGAAGCATTTCTTGAACCATTGGATCTGGCAATCCTTGAAGCTTTGTGTCTAGAATCGATGCAGCCGGTTCATAGCTACCCATTTTCTTTTTCACCCACTCAACAATGTGCATTCCCTCACCCACGTGAGATTCAACTGCGCTACGCCCACTTAGTATCTCCAGCAGAACCACTCCATAACTGTAGACATCGCTTTTCTCAGTTATGTTCGTTGTGTAACCATATTCTGCATTGATTATAGACATTTGTTAGATTTGACATCAACACTTGCAAAGACGAGATTAAATAACTAGTCATGGTAAAGATTTCTGAAACCATCTTTTCCAACACGACGAACACATATATATATTGGTAGCTAAAAGTCACACTACATGAGAACAAATCAATTTAAAGACTTCTCTAACAAGTTAAAGGTCACTAATCTTCAACCAAAAGTCCAAACAGCTTCACTAAACTATATATGTCTGCATACAGGCATGAGTATCCCTCTCCAACTAAACATACAAGGTTAAAATGGAACTCAATGATCAAGTTGTGTACAATGATCTGCAACAAGCATTACAATTTACAAAACTAAGTTGAGTGAAATTAGGGATGCTTGCCTGGAGCAATATAACCGTAGGAGCCAGCTACTCTGGACACTGCATGGTGGTAGCCCGGAGAGTTCATCAGTTTTGCCAAACCAAAATCTGCCAGATAAGCCTCATACTTGGAGTCTAGAAGTATGTTATTGCACTTGACATCTCTGTGAAGAATTGCAGGTACGCAATCATGATGCAGATAAGCTAAACCTTGAGCTGCTCCAGTAGCGATCTTGTACCGGGTTTCCCAATCCAAGTTTCTGTTGCTTCGCAAAAGCTGTTGCAGATTACCATTTGGGATGTAGTTGTATAAAAGGAGCTTAACACTTTTATTGGAACAATATCCTAAGAGTTTGACAATATTCCTATGTCGAATGTGTCCGAGAATCTGAATTTCTGCTGCAAAAGAGTCCACTGCAGGCTCTTCATCTTGTTTTGTTTTCCAGAGCTTTTTTACTGCAATCAGCTCGCCACTGGGCATTTCTGCTTTGTAAACAACCCCTGAACAACCTTTTCCAATCACATTCTCATCCTTGAGACAGTCCAAAATGTTATCAATGGTAAAATTGAGCTTTTGAAATGGAATGAAGGTCCATGGATAAGAGAAATCTTCAGCTCCTGGTGAAGAGGATAATGCTTCTGCAGATTTCTCTACCATGTACCTATGATTCCTTGTAACTAGAAACCATGAAGCAAGGACAGCTATAGTAACTGAGGCCAGAATCACAGAGATCAAAGCAACAGTTTTGGCTGATCTTAATCCACTCTCTCTAATTATACGTGAGGAACAAGTAGAACCATCCATAGATTCACATAAATTCGGGTTTTGAAGGTAAGAATTAGAAGAAAGAGTCCTAAAGAAAGGTGTTACGGGAATAGGACCTGAGAAATTGTTAAAGGATATATTCAAAGAAGTAAGACTAGTAAGGAAACCTAAAACCTTAATTCTTCCATATAGCATATTATGTGACAGATCAAGTGACTGTAACTGTGTCAAACTAGACATCGATTCTGGTATTTCACCTGTAAACATATTGGAGCTCAAGTCCAAACTGATTGTTAAGCTTGTCAGATAACCAATTTCAGGTGGAATTTCACGAGAGAGACTGTTGTAGCTTAAATCAAGCAGGGTAAGTTTCTCCAAATTTCGAAAGGATTTTGGGATAGACCATGTTAGTAAATTGTTATTGAGAATGAGCTTGTTCAAGTAACTTAAATTACCAAAGCTCGATGGAATTTCTCCTGTGAAGCTGTTTCGACTGAGATCAAGCTGCTCTAAATTCAGGAGCTCCCCAAGCTGATATGGGATTTCCCCAGTAATGTAGTTATTGTGTACATCCAATAGCTCAAGAACTGTGATGTTGGCTATCTCAAAAGGGAGGCCACCGGAGAAATGATTCATGTATAAGTCAAGGAAGACCAGGTTCTGCAGCTGGCCAATCTCCTTAGGTATCTGCCCTGAAAGCTGGTTCTCTCCAAGCCTTAACCTCACCAGTGACTGACAGTTTGCAACACTTCTTGGCAACCCTCCTGATAAAGAGTTTCCCAGAAGCAGAAGCTTGCTCAGCTTCTTCAAACTAAAAATCTCTTCTGGTATTGAACCAGTAAGCTTGTTCCTTGAAAGGTCAAGTGCGTAAAGCTCCGTGCAGTTACCAAAAGAAGATGGAATTGTTCCAGAAACTGAATTTCCCCACAAAAAGAAATTCTGCAAGTATTTCAAGTTACCTAACTGCCATGGGATTGTACCGAATAATTGATTCTTGTCAAGTTGAAGAGCAGTCAGACTCGAGCAGTTGCTTAACTGCCAAGGAATTAACCCGGCTAGTGAATTATCAGACAAGTGAAGTT